CTGAGTCTAAGGGATTGGTATGGGGTGTCCCACACCCCATATCTTTGAGGAACAGCTACAGGAAACCAGAGGCCACCCCAGGTATTTGAGGCAGCATGGGACTGAGTCTAAGGGATTGGAATGACTCCTGCATAATGCCATTGACCCTGCCTGCCAGGAGAGCTGCTGCCACTGGCCCCTCAGGAAGCGGGCGGCCAGGGGCTCACCTTTGGAATTGTTGATCCACAGAAAACACCACACAGCCACCCAGGGGGAGGGAAACCGTGACCTTGTTGGCCAGCTGCAGCCAGTGCGAGAAGATGGCCTCTGCCTCACTTCCACTGTCCCAGATTCACACCCACACCAGCCTCTCAGGACCGCAGCTGCAAGGGAGTCTGGCACACTTGATTTTAGCTTTCCACTCTGACACAGAGGTAGATACATAGGCTGGACCCACCCACCCACCCACCCCATGCCCCCACCCACCCAGTGCTCCAGTCACTGGCTTTCTGACTGCTCTTTGAACACAACAAACTTGTTCCCACTGTTTGGGACGCCCTTCCCTCAGATCTTCCCAGGCCTGTTAAGCAGCACCTCCCCAGAGAGACATTCCTCATCGGAAGGCTGCTGGAGGCCTGGGTCTGGGGCCCGCTCCGGAAACAGTCCATCCCAGGAGGCTGGCATGATTAGGAGTGGCTACGTCTCACCATCTGAGCTAAAACTATGTTGTATCACCTTGTTTCCTTTTCTTTTTTGCACCTATCAGTAGCTGGGGTTACGGTATATACTTAGATGTTCACTTGCATATTACTTGTCTGCCCTGTGTAGAATGTAAGTTCTGTGAGAGCAGGAACTATATCTGTTTTCTTCACCCCTTAGCTCCAACACCTAGAACAGGGCCTGATGGATAGCATGTGCTCAGTAAACATTTGTTGAACAAACCACTGAGAAACAGAGATAACACCACACTTTGCACTTACCTCCGTTACTTCATTTGTTATATAACATTGCAATTACTCCCTCACAAACCCCTTTCTTGGTTCAAGCCAAGATCACATCCTTATTTTTAAGTTTTAAAATATATTTTTATTGATTTCAGAAAGAAAGGAAGAGGGAGAGAGAAACATCAATGATGAGAGAGAATCATTGATTGGCTGCCTTCTACATGGCCCCTACTGGGGATCGAGCCTGCAACCCAGGCCTGTGCCCTGACCAGGAATCGAACTGTGACCTCCTGGTTCATAGGTCGACACTCAACCACTGACCCACGCCAGCCTGGCCACATCCTGATTTTTATTTTGTCTCACTTATTAGCATACTAACCAGCAAATAGTTGATAAATCAGCGTTTTGATAAATAAATATAGGAAAGAAGGCATGAATGCACATGTTTAGGAAGCATAGGTGTGTTTCAGGATGTCAGAGGAGGGAAAGGAAGATAATTATTGTATAAACACGATCAAATGCTAAATAAAATCATCTCAATCCGGCCAGAAAACGCGAGATCCTTGGCTCGGAGATGGGCCGGTGGGTGGGCTGAGGTCAGGGAGCTGGCAGAGGCTCAGCCTGGCAGAGGAAGATGCAGGAGCTGAGAAACTTTGAGAAGGAGCTGCCAAGTGTCTGTCTGCAGAATTGATAGGATCTCCAGTTGGCTGGGCACTTTTCCCCCCTCTAATTAATTTCAGAGCAGGAGGGAATGAGAGAGAGAGAGAGAGAAACATCAATGATGAGAGAGAATCATTGATCAGCTGCCCCCTGCACACTGGGAACCAGCCCACAACCTGGACATGTGCCCTTGACCGAAATCGAACCCAGGACCTTTCGGTCTGCAGGCCACTGAGCCAAACGGACTAGGGCGCTTGGGCACCTCTTACAAGTACTTCCTCCCACGCCCTCTGAAAGGCTCTTCCATTCCCCTGATTCTGTCTGGAAAGGAAGAGGCCCTCCCTTTCTCCAGCTCATTCACAAAATACATCTTGTCAGTGTCACGCTGTGGGGCGAGGGAAGCACCAAACATCCCCTTTTCTAGGATGCGCTCTCGTGTTGCCCCTCAGGGAATCTGCTTCTGAACCAAAAAGGCAGCCTTGGTCAGAGGCAAAGGGAGATTTTGGGGGAAAATGTTGACCTTTTTATATCTTTAATATATAAGTTATTTCTGATAATCATCAAATAATTGTTTAACTCCGCCTTTTACATGTACATAAACATGCAAGCACACACATACACAAAACACACAAACACACAAACACAATGCATGCAAATAGAAACATCAATGTACACAGACACAGATAAACATGCACAGTCAAGTGCACACACACTCACACATCAAGCCCGTGAGTAGGAAACACAATGGCTAGTCAGAGGGTATTTGCAAAGCCCCTTTACCAGGGAAGACTGCCATAGCCCACTTCTGGGAAAGACACCGAAGCATTTCAACAAGTTTCTGTTTACTGGCAGCGGGGGAGAAGAGGCGAGGAGAAGGAAGCTGAGGGGGTTTCACAAGCAGCGGCCACGAGAAGGCTGTCTGGCCCGTCGGGAGGCGGCCTGTCGCCGCCGCGGCAACCACAGTCGGCCCAGCCACGGGCTCCCTGGCAACCGCTTGCTGGGTGGGCAACTGGGGGGAAAAGAGCAAGGCCTCAGCCCATATGTACAGACCAGTCATCAGACCAGGCCAAAGCAAGAAAAAAAGAGGGCTTCGACGGCCAGAATAGCAGCAATGGATGGATGGGGGGTTCTGGGGAAGGAAGCCGGAAAGTGAAATAAAACAGACAAACATTTGTGTTGGAGCCAGTGGGAGAGGTCCACACAGAATGAGTGTCCTCCGCGGGTGTCACCATAGAGAAGCTGGTGAGCTCGTAGCAGATGATCCAGGGGAGGCAAGGAGTGTACAGGGGTCGCTGGGAATGCTCAGGGTTGTCACTCCGGTGCGGTGGAGAGCCGCGGTTGGACATGGGAGCACAGTAGTGGACACATGATCTGGCTGAGGGTGGAGGACTGGCGTAGAGAGAGCAGGGTGGCGTGGGGAGACCAGCTAGCATGCTGCTGCCGCAGTGGCCTCGGTGGAAGATGGTGGTGGCCTGGGCTTGGGTGGTGGCAGCAGAGGCAGTGGCAGGTGGTGGATCTGGATCTGCAGTGAAGTTGAAGCTGGAAGGTCTATTGGGGACCAGCCACGTTCCAGGGGAGGTGATGAGTGTGCAGGGATCGTTGGGGATCATGTTAGAGATGCCGCTTCAGCAAGGAAACAGTTGGATCAGGTGCACAGTTCAGGGGAGCGGTCCAGGCTGCAGACGCCACCTGGGGCTTCTCACAGTGGGCCTGGGCAAGAGCTGGAAGTGACGGGAGACAGAGGAGAGGAGGGGACCAGGGACTAAACCCGGAGCACTACCATGTTTGGAGGTCAGGGAGATGAGGAGCCTGCGAAGGGGAGGGAGCACGAAGGCAGCCCTGGATCCATGGGCAACAGCCATGGAGAGGTCCCGCAGAGAAGGCCGAGGGAGAGGTCACCTTACAGGAGCAGTGTGAGTGGGGGGAAGGGGTCAGACAGAGCGGGAGGCCAGGAAGTGGAGGCAGATGCCAACAACTGGGGAGAAGTGTTGGTGTGAAGGGGCCTCCGCCTTGCTTCTGAGTCTTCCGTTGTTCTGCATCAGGCAGCTCGTAGTTCTGCTCTCCCTCTGCCTCGTCTCTACACTGGTCTCCCGTCTCCCAATCTCCAACCACCTCCCGGGCCGGGACCAGCAAGTTACAATCAGTCGAGGCACAGCTTGTGAAACTAGGGCGGAACCCATACTGTTAGTCCTCAGTCCTCAGTTTGATGCTCCCTAAATCCCAAATCAACCATCCCCTGAAGGATCTGGCCTCCCCACAAAAAGCACTGAGCAAAAGCTTACCGCTGACTGCCATCTGGTGGTCATTTTGGGAACTGGCCTGACTCCAACTCCGAACAGGCAAAGAGAGGAATTGAGTGAAGTGTTAGAGCAGCACCCAGCGCTGACTCGGTGAAAGTGGGCCACTATCATTTGGCTCATGGTTCGGGGCGTGTGGTTAAATCAGTGCCCCTTGACGCCACACCCAATATATTTTGGAGGAAAAGGAAATATCCTGAAGGGAGGGAGCCCCTTTTAACTCTTGGTAAAAGTTAGAGTGCTTCAGGGAACCAAATAGGACTTTCGTGTATGAAGTCAGAGGATCTAGATTCAAATCCTGCTTTGGCTGCTATGTGACCTTGAGCACAGCATTTAAGCGTCTTGGGTCTCAGTTTCATCAACCATAACCTGGAAGCATCAGGGTTAAAACTACGCCAGGTGGTGAGTGTAAGGAGAGCTCTCAGTAAAGGATGCTCTTCGTTAGTTTACAGAAGTGACACCCCAGCTTCCAATGCTTTAAAATAACGGTTCTCAGCGGGGGGACACCTGGCAATGAGTTACTTTTGGTTGTCACAAAGGTGGGGGATCTAGTGGCATCTGGTGGGCAGAACATCCTATAATGCATAGGCAGCTCTTTAGGAGACAGCGTGTCAGTGGTGCTTAACGTGAGGAATTCTGGAGCTTTCTAAAACGGGGGCTTCCGGCTATGCTGTGAGCCACCATGAGGAGCTGTTTTCTGAAAAGTCTGAGGGAAGCGGATGCTGGTGCTGGAAAAGGGGTCCTTCCATGACTACAGGAGGAGCAACGCGAACTCCGGGTCACTGTGCTCTCCACGGCGGCAGCTGCGAGCCAGCAAATGTGGCCACCGAAATCGAAATGAAACAAGATGTTGAAAATCCTGGGCTGTAACGCCACAACCCACGTGCTCTCAGCAGCCGCATGCAGCTAGCGGGCAGCACGGAGACGGAACATTCCTCTCGGCGGACAGCGCTGCTCTCCGAGGGCTCGGCCGGACGGGCCTCGGTGGGCAACCCACAGGGAAACACTGGGAAGCGAGACACGCAGAGGAGCCGACCCTGAGAGGCAGGACGTAATTTAATGCTAAATAAAACAAGTCACAAACACGCGCACAGTCACTGGTCTGTGCCACCCTCCCCCCCCCACCCCCCCCAAGAATCACTCTTAAATGCGTAAAACTCAAGAACCGCCAAAAAGGCAAACAGAATCAACAGGAAGCAGGCAGGGACGGACGGGGAGTCCGCTGCCGGGGAGCCCTGGCCCTCTCTCAGTTTAACTTGCGGTACATCATTCCGGGCCCGACATGTGACCACGAGTCGAGGGTACTGATGGAGGAGGGCCTACGGCGGCTAATCTTGCTTAAGGACTTGGGGTCCCTGTACAGGTGGTAGGTGTGCTTGATGATGAAGGGCAGGGAGGAGAAGTGCAGGAGCATGCGGGAGATCTGGAAGGCCAGGTGCACGCTGCCCAGCTCCTTGAACCGCTTCTTGAGGATGCCGTTGAGGAGCAGGACCATAGAGAAGCTGGTGAGCTCGTAGCAGATGATCCACAAGGCGTAGCACAGCAGCCCCTGGTAGAAGTTCAGGTGGATGCAGTAGAGGAGCATGGCGCTGACTAAGACGGTGACGCCCGAGAGGCCCATGCTGATGGTCTTCTTGTTGGTCAAGACCCAGTTGGTTACCACAGACCCGTTCCTGTAGATGCTAAACCCGTACTCGAAGCCAATGAGCGTGACCTCGTTCAAGTCGAAGATGAGGAACTGAATGGTGTTGAGGATGGAGAAGATGCCCACCAGAAGGGAGAACAGCTTGTCGTTCATTTTGTACTCGTTTTACCAGAGCCACTCCTGCAGGGAAAAGAAATCACGGAGGTACATGACAACACGGCAGAGCCAGCCCCACACAAGCTCCCCGGACGGCTGGGGGAACGTGGTGCTCAGGGCAGTGATGGGAGGTGGCCGGGCCATGGCGGGAGGGGCCGGGTGTGGTCCTTGCTCTGACCTACCAGCTGTAGGTGACATCAGCCGGAAAGCGGGCATTGTGGCCTGGCATACTCCCCAGGGAGCCCCCGGCCCTGCTCGGCACCTCCTGTCTCTGCCACAATGATCAGGTCCCTGCTGGCTCTTCTCTGGAATGTTTGCTTCTCTGAGGTCAGAGACGCATGGCTCCTCGAGGGCCCCAGGTCATCCCTGACCCTCCCCCAGATGCCTGCCTCTCCTCCCAGCCCTCGGGATGGAATCCCCCTGCTTTGCCCTCTGCGTCGGACCCAGATTTGTTCCAAGGCAGGGTTGAGCCAGCAGTGAGTGGAATGGGGAAGGTTTCAGGGTCTGGCTTACTGTCTTCTCAGCCCAGGGTCATAGAGGTGAAGGCCCAGCAGGCGGACCTCCAGCTGCAACTTAGGCTGGACCTGAACTCTAGAGGCCGCTCCAGCCTTTGGGAGAAGCCCGGAGCCCCAGCGGACCGCTGAGGGCGCATAGATTAGGGGGGACCCAAAGCTGGGGTAGGCTGGCCTAGGGCAACGTCCCTCCCAGCCCCATCACCTTCAGAGAATTCCAGAGTAAAGCTCCCTCCTCTTTACTCCCAACTGGCGAGCCGCCGCTGTGAGGGGAGAGGGAAGGGGAACAGTCACACGCGAGGGGCGGCGTGCAGCCCCCGGGCTGAGCGTGCCCGATGGCTCGGCCTCTTGCTGAGGCGAGCGGAACGGGCCTCCTGCGCTGCCCTGTTGAGCAAAGACAGGCCGCCATAAACTTCCCTCCAGCCTTCTCACTCACTCGGTCAATTTCAAATTTCCTTTTCTTTTTTCAGTCGGAAGCCATTGTTTAGTGTGCTGGAATATACATAACAAGTTTGACCATCTCACGCTTCCTGCGTGTGCAATTCAGTGGCATTCCGTACATTCACCTGTCGCACAACCATTGCCACCACCCGTGTCCAGACCCGTTCATGTTTCCCGAGAAAAACTTTGTCCTCATCAAACACGGACTCCCACCACCCCGTGCCCGTTAACCATCTTTTCACTCTCGTCTCCAGGAGTTTACTATGCCAAGTCCCTCACAGCGGACTCACAGTCTTTGTCCTTTGGTGTTTGGCTTATTTTACTTCGCATAATGTTTTCAAGGTTCATCCCAGATACGCTCGCACTGTGTCCCCATTACCCTTCCACTCCGTGACTCCAACGTGGAGTCCAGGATGCACGCCCCGCTTGCTGCACCCAGGCCCTGGAGGGTCCCCACGGGGTGGGAGAGACCATGTCCCCCGCCCCCCAGCCCATAGCTGCACTGATTCCTCCTCGTCCCCAACAGCTAAACCACACCCATCCCTGCCCACAGAGCAGCTTCCAGAGCAGCCACTACCCATGGGGTGCTCTCCCGCACCAACCCAGGTAGGGCCCACACCACACAGGCGTGTTACTGTGGTCTAAGCCTGGGTTGCAGATTTCAAGGCAATGTCCTTATCAGTCCCATTGTTTTCTCAGCCCTGCTGCTCTAGCCTTGGTTTTGACCCTGTCACCTCCCTCCTGAGTCACCACTCTAATAACCACCTCACTTCTCGTCTGTCCTGCTGGGCTCCTCTACGTCCACTCAACACGCACTCATCCAGCAGCTCCCAGCACCTGCTCTGTGCCGGGCACTGAGCTTGGAACTGGAGAATCACAGGTGAACCTTCTAGTGAGGAAGCTACACAGAGAAATAAAATGTTAAAAAGCAAACTTACAAGGCAACCTGGGAAATGCTGGGGAGGAGGCGGCCGCGTCCTGAGATGTAACAAGATCTAACCCCGAGTGAGCCAGGAGGCTCTTCTGGAGGAGGCAGCCAGTGAGCTTAAGGAACGTGGGTAAGGACTGGGCAGAAAGGCAGGAATGCACCCCACAAAGTGGACTACACCCAGGTAGGCCCAGAAACAGGAAAAAGCCATTTTGGAAACAGCAGGCTTGGTGTGGCTTGAGCAGAGGGGTCGGCTGCCTGTGTGGACGGAGGATGGAGAAAGGACAGAGAAAGGAAGGAGCCTTTCCTGCCCCCTGCCCGGTGGAGGTTTCTCCGGAAGGCACTGGGGAGTTCTGGGAGGGTCTTCAGGGGGTGTGTATGAGAGACAGGATCTGAACTGTACTTTAGAAAAGTATTTCTTGCTGGGACCATGGGTCAGAAAAGGGGCACGAGTGGAGGCAGGCAGAACAGTTGAGAAACACGTTAACAGGGATGTTGGGGGGAGTGACTGCAGTTGGGGCCTGGAGCTGTGGGAAATGGAGTCTGGAATGAACACCTGGGTGGAGGGGGCCCCTTCACTGAGGTAGGGGGCTGGGTGGCAGGAGCACCTAGGATGCAGGTGTGGGAGAGGAGGAGGACAGCTTTGGAAAAGCTGGGTCTGAATTCCTCAGGGACATCTAAATAGGCACGTCTACTATGAAGTCATCTCTCCCAACTCGGACAGAATCAGAGCATTTGCTGGATATATGATTCTTGGTTAACAAAGTGGTTATTTTATTTTGTTAATCCTCACTGGAGGATATTTTTTTCCATTGATTTTTAGGAAGGAAGAGAGAGATGATATAGAGAGATAGAGATAGAGATAGAGATAGACTTAGAGATAGAGATAGACATAGACATAGAGATAGAGATAGAGATAGAGACAGAGACAGAGATAGAGATAGAGATAGAGATAGAGACAGAGACAGAGATAGAGACAGAGACAGAGATAGAGATAGAGACAGAGACAGAGACAGAGATAGAGATAGAGACAGAGACAGAGACAGAGATAGAGATAGAGATAGAGATAGAGACAGAGATAGAAACAGAGACAGAGACAGAGACAGAGATAGAGATAGAGACAGAGACAGAGATAGACATAGAGATAGAGATAGAGATAGAGATAGAGATAGAGATAGAGATAGAGATAGAGATAGAGATAGACATAGACATAGAGATAGACATAGAGATAGAGATATAGATAGAGATAGAGACAGAGATAGAGACAGAGACAGACATAGACATAGAGATAGAGATAGAGATAGAGATAGAGATAGAGATAGACATAGAGATAGAGATAGACATAGACATAGAGATAGAGATAGAGATAGAGATAGAGATAGAGATAGAGATAGAGATAGAGATAGACATAGAGATAGAGATAGAGATAGACATAGACATAGAGATAGAGATAGAGATAGAGATAGAGATAGACATAGAGATAGACATAGAGATAGAGATAGACATAGAGATAGAGATAGAGATAGAGATGGAGATGGAGATGGAGATGGAGATAGAGATAGAGATAGAGATAGAGATAGACATAGAGATAGAGATAGACAGAGAGATAGAGATAGAGATAGAGATAGACATAGAGATAGAGATAGACATAGACATAGACATAGAGATAGAGATAGATTGGTTTCTTCCCTTAGGTGCCCTGACCAGGGCTGGGGATCAAACCTGCAATCCAGTACATGCCCTTGACCAGGAATCAAACTTGTGACCCTTTGGTGCATGGGCTGATACTCTTAACTATTGAGCAATACCAGCCAGGGCAATAATGGGTTTTTAATATATATTTTGAGTTTTATTTACTGATTTGAGAGAGAGAGAGACAGAGAGAGAAATCAATTTATTGTTCCACTTATTTATGCATTCATTGGTTGATTCTTGTATGTGCTCTGACTGGGTATCAAAACTACAACCTTGGCTATCAGAATGGTAGTTCAGCATTCTAGCCAAATGAGCCACCTGGCCAGAGCTGAAACACTTTAAATAGATTATCCTACCATCTGGCTTCCATTGTTTTTGCTGAGAAATCAGCTGTCAATCTTTTTGGGATTCCCTCGTAAGTGACCAGTCATTTTTCTCTTGCTGCTTTCAACATTCATTTTTCTTCCTCTTTGACTTGAGCACCTTTATTATGCAGGGTTGTTTGTGGAGGCTTTGCATTTATCCTAGTTGGAGTTTGTTGAGCTTACTGAGTATAAGTTAGACTTTTTCAATAAATTTGGGAAGTTTTAAGCCATTATTTCTTTAAATTTTTTTTCCTGTTCCTTTCTTCTCCTTTTAATACTAACATTATGCATATTTTGGTTGGGATGCTTAATAATGTCCCACATTCCTCTGGGGCTCTGCTTATTTTGCTTCATCTTTATTCTCTGTTCTTTAGATTGCATAATCTCTGTCATCTACCTTCAACTTTACTAATTCTTTCTTCTGCCAGTTTAAATCTACTGTTGAGCTTCTCTAGTGCATTCTTCATTTCAGTTATTCTACTTTTCAACTAAAGAATTTCCACTTGGTTCTTTTTATAGAATTTGCACCCCTTGATATCCTCTACTTGATGTGGCATTGCCGTTACATTTTTTCTTGGTTTCCTTTAATTCCTTACTTTTATATTTTTAAACTATATTTTTATTGAATAAAGAGAGATAGAAACATCAATGATGAAAGAGAGGATCATTAATTGGCTGCCTCCTGCATGCCCCCCACTGGGGACTGAGCCCACAACCAGGGCATGTGCCCTGACCGGTAATCAAACTGTAATCTCTTGTTTTGATAAGTTGACACTCACCCAATGGCTGGTCTCCTTTAGTTCTTTAAACATATTTGTAATGGTAATTTTATTTTATTATTATTATTTGTTAATCCTCACCTGAGGATATTTTTCCATTACTTTCCAGAGAGAGTGGAAGGGAAGAGAGAGAGGGAGAGAGAGAGAGAGAGAGAGAGAGAGAGAGAGAGAGAGAGAGAGAGAGAATCAATGTGAAGAGAGACATATTGATTGGTTTTGTACCAACTGGGGTTAGGAAACTTGTAACCAAGGTATATGCCCTTAACCAGGAATCCAGTCCACTGCTCTTTTGTCCATGGGCTGAGCAGTGAGCCAAA